GAGCTCTTGCATCACAAGCTTCATGCCATATCCTCTTCACGGGTTCATGTAATTTAACCTTGGTTCATGGACTAAGCTTTATACTTTTCATCTTATATATGAAATCCAATGTTCAAAATCGCGGGCTATAGAATTTAGCGGGAGGCTGCGCAAAACGCTATAGCCGCTATAGCGGCCGCTATATGCAATAGCGGTGTACAGGAAATCAGCAAAATATAGGCCAGAACATGAGTAATTTGAATGATTTTTTTCAATTGACATTTCATACACATTGTCAAGCATGAGCACAGGCAACATAAGCATAAGAAAACATAAGGATAAGACGACTTTTGGCCACCTACTGTTGGCGCACTCTGATCTGGACTTCGATTGCTTTCGCTTGGGTTAGACATTGTTGTTGGCCGCCTTCTTGGCGGTGCAGATGCTTGTTGCCAGTATCAGGTGAGTCTGCTGCCCGTCGTAGCCACCGTCGTCCAATTGAATCAGCCGCCGGCGGCCACACTCGTGATTGGAATGGTGCCGTCTAGGGTTCCAGCTGCCTGGTGATGGTTTTGTATGCCTACGGGGGCCAATAGTTGGTCGGATGGTTTCGAAATCGATCGGGCTTTAGTTTTTGGCCCACAACTACGAACCGTGAATAAGCGCCACATATCGCTACGCTACGCTATTCCGTTTAGCGACGCTATTATGCTGCTATATAGCGGTGATAGCGAGATATAGCGCAAATATGTGCAATATCGTCACGACAATGCTTCGTCACATATAAAGCTTATAGCGCACTATTTTTTACATTGATGAAATCATTAGTTCACAAATATTGTTATTTAACTATCAGAACTCAAATAGATATTTCAATCTCTTCCTTTTTAGTAATTAATAATAACCATACAAAGATATGCAAAGAATACAAAGAAGTATTGAATTGGTATCTTTTCCAACTAGAAACCGACAATATTAAGGGTATATTTGGTTATCACCGTAGATGGCAACACTGAATCTTTAGCACGTCGCAACTTTTTTCTGATTTTGATTGCACCTCAAGAGAGCCAAAAGAAAGCACCCTCTATGTGTTTTTCAATATTTACTTGCCAAAAGTTTGGTGCTGCATTTCCTCATACTATCTTAGGTGAGCTGCAAGCTCGCAAACATGCATGTTTAGCAACGACAAGAAAATTATCATCGGTTAGAATACTACAATCACATATAAAATTTTTTACTTTGAAGTTTTTGTTGTTGTGATGCTACCTAACAGCAAGGCCATATTTGCTGCAAAGAATATGGCATACAAAGCACTAAAAAGTGAAGGGACATATTTGTTGCAACATACACAATGTAGAAAACACTAAGACTATGTTTAGAATGTAAGAATTTTGCAAAACTAAGAGCATATTCAAGAGCCTCTATATATACTTTCTAATTGATAGTGATAAAGATTTTGATGAACAAATATCCTTCAACAACTTCTTTAACTACATCTCTAAATATAACCATTCTCTATTCCAAAATTCTCACTAGCTAAAAATGAAGAGCGGGCCAACTCTTTAGAATGAGAGAATAATTTTTATTTAAATGATTCTCCGTATGATAATTTAAAGAGTGAGATGCTTTAATACAAAAATTTCAAAAAGAAATGCAGGATTAAAAAATACGTGTTTTTTTAATAAAAAAACGTGTTCTAAACATGGCCTAAAGAAAACCCTGCAAGTGCAAATGCCAAATGTGCAACCTGGCCGGCCCGCAGTCTAACCCTATACGTCTTCGGCGTGCAGATCTCCCACCAGAAAGCCCACTCGAAGAGCATAGCAGCGGGTGGACTCGGCACCGGCAGGCCGTCGGGACCGCGATGATGGCCGCCGCATGGCCTCTCTCCGCCGTCGCCGGCCTTCTCCCGGCCTCCCTCTCGCTGACCCTCCTCCTCGTCACCCTCGTACCGCCCTCCCCTTTGCCCCACAAACCCTGCTCCTCCGTCCCTGCTTCCTCCTCGCCGCGGCGCTCACGCCATCTCTCCGTGTTTTGCGCAGGTGTCCATCCTGGTGCTGGGCGCAGCGGCCGTCTTCTTCGAGCACATCCGCAAGATCGGATGCATGCACTCGTAAGTCAGCTTCCGTGTTCCCGTCTCATCCTCTTCGTTTCCCCCGCGATCTGCTTGCCGTGTTGACTGCTGCGATGTTCTGGATCTCGGCCGCAGGCTGGAGAGGTCCGCCGTCTCGGACGCTTTCTTCGAGGACCCCAACTCGCTCAAGAAGGTAGTGTACTGATTGCTCTTGCAGTGTTCGTCCCGTGCTGTGGCATGGTGTGCACGCTAGGTGTTTGCTGATTTGCTTGTCTGAACTGACTGTTATATAGGTTCCCTGTCCGTACTGATTGCTCTTGCAGTGTTCGTCCCGTGCTGTGGCATGGTGTGCACGCTAGGTGTTTGCTGATTTGCTTGTCTGAACTGACTGTTATATAGGTTCCCTGTCCGTCGGTTTTTGATCCTCCTGAGAAATATATTTCGTTGATAGTTCCTGCCTACAACGAGGAGCATCGACTCCCCGAGGCTCTTACAGAAACACTCAAGTAAGGCATTTGCTACTCCAGCGCAATGCTATATTTATCTTTGAACTTTGAACTGTGCCTTGAAATCTATACTGGTAATTTCCTTTGCAGCTAGTGGTTAATTGTTATATTGATTGCTTTGTTGTTTCCTCTCTATAATAGCTACTTGAAGCGGCGATCAACTGCTGACAAGTCCTTTTCCTACGAGGTATGTGGAAATCTAGCTTGTTATTCGCAATTTGCAATCCCCTTTGCAGCTTGCAGGGCGCAGGCAAACTATGAGCATTTTAGTGCAGAGCCTTTTGTTTATTGAAACCTGTATTAACCTAGCTAATTTCGGAATTTAACCAATTCTGTCAAGGTCTTGATTGTTGATGATGGTAGCACTGACCGGACCTCTAAAGTTGCTTTCGGTTTTGTAAAGCAACACAAGATTGATAATGTTAGAGTTCTTCTACTTGGGAGAAATCATGGGAAAGGTGAAGCAGTCCGAAAAGTGAGTGTTGAAATCCCTGGATATACCTTAGGGCTTAGGTTTCAAATTTAAACTAATTGGTGCTTTCCTTTTTTTTTGTGGAAGCATGGTCTAATAGGGAATGCTACATTCACGTGGTGAACTATTACTCATGCTTGATGCTGATGGTGCAACTAAAGTGACTGATTTGGAAAAGCTTGAAGCTCAGGTCTGTCTCCGTCGTAAGATAAATCAAACATCAAGTTTTGGAAGTTAATTTGGTTGGTATTGAATTAGTTTTTTTTGGAACTTCTCTTTTTCGCACTTAGGTTCATGCATTGGCTAAGAAAGCTAAGTCTAGCCCAGGAACATCTACTAGTTCATCTCATAATCTATCTGATGTTGAAATTGCTGTTTTTGGTTCCCGAGCTCATCTAGAGAAGCAGGCTCTTGCAACAGTAATTCTCTTTACTGCTCACTACCCTCAGTCTTTTGGTTTTCTACTAAGTTTTCACCTTGTATTTTGCTCATTCTTATCCTGCTTTATTGCAGAGGAAATGGTATAGAAACTTTCTTATGAAAGGTTTCCATTTGGTAGTTTTGTTGACTGCTGGTCCTGGGATTAAAGATACACAGGTCTTCTGTTTCAACCATACAAGTTCTTGTAATAAACAAGCGCCACTGACACTACATGTGTTTTTTTAATGACAATGTTCACGGTCTCATTTGTTGTTACCAATTCCAGTGTGGGTTTAAGATGTTCACACGAGCAGCTGCAAGGAAGCTTTTCACAAATATCAGATTGAAGAGGTATTCTTTTCTGCTCTCTTCTATCTTATTTGAAGTCCAGTGATGCTGTTTACCAAATCTGCTTTCTACGCAACATAGTATGGATGGTTATTACAACTTGCCTTTCTTTGCATGGGCAGGTGGTGTTTTGATGTTGAGCTTGTATACCTGTGCAAGCGCCTCAGGATCCCAATGATAGAAGTATCTGTTAATTGGACCGAGATACCTGGTTCCAAAGTCCGCATGACAAGCATCATGCACATGGTATTCGAGCTCCTGCTGATCAAAGTAGGTTATGGACTGGGGATATGGAAAATGTACTCGTAGATCCTGACATCCTATGCTGACTAGTTTCTGCAGCTTAGTTTATCATCACTGTAACCTATACAGAACTTGTTCATCGCCGGCAAATCCATTTGGAGGCATACTGTACAATTTTCCGAGATTTTCAAATCAAGAGAATCAATTCACATGTACCCTAGTGTTTGATCATAGTGATGTTGACAGATATAGGCCAAATTTGTTGTCCCAGTTGACGAACTCTCCTTTTACTGATTTGTTATACAAGAACTCAAATTGTGTCTGGCCTTGATTATCACAGAAGAGGGCTAAACTTGTTACTACTAGCTTTGGGTCCTTTGGTAGATGCAGTGCAGAACTGAATCTGCAATCCTGATTTGTTTCTGATGACGCGACCTTGACAAGCAAGAAGCATCCATGAAACTCTAGCAGCGGCTGATTTTCTGCAATCCATGAAACTGTAGCAGAACTGAATCTGCAATCCTGATTTGGTTTTCACAGCAGCAGCGGCTGCCGCTGCTGGCCGTGCATGTCACAAAACTGTAGCAACACTGATTTTCTGCAGCTGCATGGCTGTCCATGATCTTTTTTCAAACTTTATATCTGTCAAAAAAAATATTTCATCAAACTTTTCAGACATCGGAGTCGCTTCCGATAGGGGGTTGCTTCCACTTGCCAGTTGCCAATGCGCATTGTAGCAATCACATCCATCAGCAATGCAGCTTATGAAATGGCGCAGGGGCAGGGCGAATGATCAAAAGTTCAAAACCACCCTTCGGAGGTGCTTAGGATTTGCGTACGTGTGCTCGTAAAGATGAGTTTGCGTGTTTGTTGTGGGCGTCGACGTACTGTATAATTCTTAAAAAAAAAAGGTTCAAAACCACACTGCTCCGCGCCTGGATGACATGCGCTCGGCCAAATGCCGCCGCCGCTTCCATCGCACGTTCTGTCGCATCCGCGCCGTCGCTTCTCCACCGCACCGGCCTGGCGCTACCCGCCGTCTGCGGCGCGGGCCGCGGAGCAGCACTGCCTCCGCCTTCTAGAGCGCTCCTCCGCGCCGGCCGCCGTCCTGCAGTCCCTCGCCTTCCTCCTCAAGTCAGGCCTCCACGCCAACCCGCTCGTCCTCACCAGGCTCTTTGCGTCCTCCGCCTCCGCGGCGCCCGCGCTGCTCGAGCCCCTCGTCGCCGCGCTCCTCGGGCCCTCCGTCCCCATCGACGCGTTCCTCGTCAACACTCTCATCCGCGCGCACGCTGCCTCCCCTGCTCGCTTCCGCCCGCCTCCGCGCCGCCTCCTTCTTTCCGCTCCGCTCCGCTCCGCAGCTCCGTGTTGCCGAACAAATTCACCTTCCCGTTCCTCCTCAAGGCGTGCGCCGCGCTCCTGGCTCCCCGGGCGTTGGGCTCAGGCGCACGCCGCGGCTCTCAAGTTCGGGTTCGCCACCGACCAGTATGTTTCCAATACTCTCATACACATGTACTCCTGCTTCGGCGGTGAGTTCCTCGGGGACGCGCGGAATGTGTTCGACAGAATGGCCAAATCGAGTGCGGTTACTTGGAGCGCGATGATCGGCGGGTATGTGCGTGGGGGGCTGTCGAGTGATGCAGTTGGGCTGTTCAGGGAGATGCAGGCCAGCGGGGTGTGGCCAGATGAGGTCACAGTGATTGGTGTTCTAGCAGCAGCAGCAGATTTGGGAGCACTCGAGCTTGCTCGGTGGGTTGGGCGCTTCATGGAGAGGGAGGGGATTGGGAAATCTGTGACGCTGTGCAATGCGCTGATAGACGCCCTCGCCAAGTGCGGTGACGTAGATGGGGCTGTGGCAGTGTTCGAAGGGATGGAGGAGCGGACTGTTGTGTCTTGGACCTCAGTGATTGATGCACTTGCAATGGAGGGTCGTGGGAAGGAGGCTGTGGCGGTGTTCGAGGAGATGAAGACTGCTGGCGTGCGGCCTGATGATGTTGCGTTCATCGGGGTGCTCACTGCGTGTAGCCATGCTGGAATGGTTGATGAAGGTTATTGCTACTTTGATTCAATGAAGATGGAATATGGCATTGATCCTAAGATCGAGCATTATGGCTGCATGGTTGACATGTTTGGTCGTGCTGGCATGGTCGAGCGAGCAATGGAGTTTGTTCATATGATGCCCATGAAACCAAACCCAATAATATGGCGGACACTTGTTGCTGCATGCCGTGCCCATGGCAGGCTTGAGCTTGGTGAAAGCATCACCAGGAATCTTCTAAACGAGTACCCGGCTCATGAGGCCAACTATGTTATGCTCTCCAATGTCTACGCGCTGACACAGAGGTGGGAGGAGAAATCAGAGATTAGGAGAGAGATGAGCAAGAGAGGAATAAAAAAGGTGCCAGGTTGCAGCCTTGTTGAGCTTGATGGGGAGGTTCATGAATTCATAGCTGGAGATGAGTCGCACCCACAGTGGAAAGAGATATACCTGATGGTCGAGGAGATGGCAAGAGAGCTAAGGCGTGTTGGGCACATCTCAGCTACATCAGAGGTTCTCCTTGACCTTGATGAGGAGGATAAGGAGGGTGCACTTCAGTGGCACAGCGAGAAGCTGGCGATTGCATTTGTGCTACTGAGGACTCCTCCTGGTACACAGGTCCGTGTGGTTAAGAATCTCCGGGTATGCTCGGATTGTCATGCAGCGATAAAGTGCATTTCACTGGTTTATAAGCGGGAGATCATAGTGCGTGATCGCAGCCGATTCCATCGCTTCAAGAATGGCTGCTGCTCGTGCAACGATTTCTGGTAATGCAATTGTTTTTCACCAGGTTATCCTGTTTCTGACTGTCCATTAACGAGGGCATCACAGAAGATGATGGTAATGATAATTTATTTCAAGGGAGCTTCTGCAGATCTTTCAAGGTTCGTCCATTCATTTGAAATATGAAAGCTTTCAATAGCCAATAGTTTTGATGCTTGTTCAAGGATATTGGAAGCTGTGTTGAAGTGCATACCTTTTATTTTTTAGAAATTTCATTTTGCATAACTGAGTCTTACTGATACACATTAATGAAGATCACTTGTAGGAGCATATTGTATGTGCAACTATACGTTTCTCAATTTGCTCTATGATCTTTGTCTTCACTGCTCTAAACCTTTCCTCAACATCTCATTCTCCATTTCTTCGCTCTTCCTTGCTGATAAATAGATGTTTCTCCAAATTTCTTATCTTTCTTGTCTCATGGTTTTACTGGCTTCTGCCAATTCCCTGGTCCTTTCCATGCCTCTTGCTTTCCATTAGCTCCTCACTGGGGTAGGCAGAGGGGGAGGCATAGGCCGAGGCAACTAGTAAGTCCATCTCACCAACCTCATGATTTGAGGTCACATTTGTACCTGTGCGCTGCACTCTCCTTTGTTGACGTCCAGTATGCATCGAAGAGAGATAATTTCTTCCACTGTATAGGAGCTTTCTTTTTCAGACTCAACTTTACAGAACACATTTGACATCCAGTGTGCCCTGGGCCTTCTGCTTTGATCTCTTATTGCTCTCTGCCAAAACCTCCTGCTCAACCAATCTTTATCAGATGATAGATCATCTGACCTCTCAGTATACTGTGCAACTTCTCCACATCTTTGTAGATTGAGAATAGTCAGGGGCGGACCCAGGGCCCAGCGACCCTGGGCCCTTGCCTGGGCTCCTCTCCTGTTAATCTCTTAGGGCCCCGTACATGGCCCATTTGCTGAGGATGCTTATCTGGGGCTGGGAGCGGCATACCAGGGGATCACAGTTGCATCGCCCGGGCTCTCCCGTCTTCCTGGGTCTGCTACTGAGAATAGTACCTTGTAACGTTGTGGATGCACCTCACCACATCTGACAGCACAATACTACTGAAGCAGAAGGTATTAGATGTGCTGCTTAACTGCTGCCTCCTGCTCATAGCAGATTTATGGGATTCTTCTGTGCAACCAGCCAACCACTATCATACTGTAGGATCTTGATGAGCAGCATCATCTCCCGGCTTGTCAACTGCTGGTTGCTTGATTAACTTCTTCATCTCCATAGAGAACAAGCTTGTTATTAGGTATTCAATCCTAAAGTAGAAGTAGAAGCAGCATTCACCGCTAATAGCTCAATGTAATCATTCAAAGTTATTAACAGCCTGAGTTGTTTATGTTGGACCTCTAATTATGACTACAAGAGGTTATATTGCATTTAAAATTTATAAAGCAATTGAGTTGAAATAGAAACATAATGAGAACTTCCAGGAGAAACAAGTGGAATATCTCAGCTGGCACAGCATGAGAATATCATTTGTTTCATTTTTTGTATTGTCTGTTGCCTGTTGGCCAGTGCAAAAGGATGTCAAAAGTAGATTTGTATTGTCTTATAGACTTACTGTTGGTATGCCTAGAGTTCAGATCATCTGGTCTGTTGTAGTCGGGACATTTAACGTTTTGTCATACATAGGTAAATCAAATATTCCTGAGCTATTGTTGCATCGCCTTTCCCCAATGCCAAGCAACAGAGTCCCATTTCAAGCGTTGAGTATTAGGGAACAGAATTTGTGAAAGGGGGCACTTATACTGGTGTCAACTATATCACTTGAAGGAAATTTCCAATGAAATAGATTTTTCGTGATGCATCCACACTGCAGGATGTTGCCAACATGTGCTAGGGAAAAAAAGGACTTGGTGAAGGCGGTCACTGGTTAGAAATGAAATGGTAGGAGAATTACACTTGTGTCATAAATATTTTGAAAACTGGGGGAGGCACGGCGTTGTGGATTGAGCTTAATGGTACATATGAGCTCACTTCATTGGAAGATAGACTTTGGTGGCAACAAGTTCCTGCGTGGAGTTTACTGCACCTTGGTTTGGCTTAATATGGGAAAGGATCAAAGTTACTTGGGCAGACGGAATGAAATCAAACCTGTTGAAATCTACCAAGTCCCCAGCTGACATCTTAGGATGGGTCGTCTGTGGTCTGCCATGGGAAGTCGGAGCTGCTGGCTGCTTTGCAATCATGCTCGGCAACGATGACTCATGGTAGTGTGTACTCTACCGCGTTGCGTGGGTGGATTAGTCTTTCTTAGTGTTTGGCGCCACACTTGGCTACCTTTGCTTGTGCATAAACTTCATTCGTCTTAATTGAAAGGCAGAGCTCCTGCCATTGTTTCAAAAAATCTACCAAGTCCCCAGCTAAGCTCTAGATGATCATGGTATGAAGAAAGCTGCAAAGCTCATCTCATCCAAGATTTGGCTTCCATTGCCTTGTTGCCTCACTACCTCTGAGGACGTATTTGTAAGATGTGCGTGTCAGTACATATTTGCAGTTCAGTACATATTTATCATCAATTTGCACTGATCCATTTATGGTGATGGTGCCAGGGTTTAATCCTGGATCGGAAACTTGTTCCAAGAATACTTCCACGGTAATGCAGGTGCTGATTCAGTGGAGCCATGGATGGCGACATGGGAGGATGAGGCTGATGTGAGAAAATGCTTTCCACAAGCTCCAGCTGTGGGACAAGGTGGAGATCAAGCTCACAAGCTGGACCATTGTGTTTACGGAAGAGAAGACTGAAGAAGGTCATGTCTGGTGCTAACGATTTTTATCAGGGTGTCAGCGGTGATAAGCTCAGAGGTTCGCATAGTTGGTGTCACCCTTGGGAGTCCGGCAGAAGGATACAGTCTTATGATATGTATAAGATTAAAAAAAAAGCTGCCGTTCATTGTTGTAGAGTCACTTCGCATCCGCGATAGGTTTGCTGTAAACTTTGTTACTACATGAGGAAATAAACAAATCGAAACGAGGTCAGCAACAACTCCCCCCTGGAGATCAGCAAGTTTGGAAAGATCGGGAGGACCAGTGTTTCCTGGGGCACAGGTCCACCAAAACGGCGAAAAACATCTCCTCCTGCGCCAACCGTTCCACCGCGCGCGCGAAACTGTAAAGCTCACCGTCTTCTCCCAGAGCACCACTGCCGGCCAGCTTGCGGATGGCGTCCGAGCCGGGACACACAGCTTGGAGCACGGCGTTGCCTCTCCACAGTCTCCACGGGCCTGAAATTTTTCCTCTATTGTCCGAAATTTTCATATTTTTAAAATTTTGTCATTCAAATAGACGCCAAAGCCCACCCAATACTCTAACCTTAATCCATGTTTCATTTTCTATCTTCTTCTCTTCTAAGTTCAAGTTGCCACCGCCACAACACACTCGCATGCTCCAGCCGTGTTGCTGCCCTTCTCATTGAATAAGCAATTGATAATATGTTTTATTTAGTTTTTTATGTTAAGTGGTTTAGAAATTATGTATGTGTTTTTCTGAACAAAATGAGTTATTTTTGTCTAATTTTTTCTGAAATTGTATTTCTATCGCCGATAAATTTCCGATATATCCGATATTTCAGTGGTGGTGGCTCGATCTCTTGCAACTTCTAAACACCCCACGAGGTTGGCGTCCCTGTCCGCGCCTCGCCCGCATCAATGTAACTAGCGCGTCTCCGCTCGTAGCTCTGCTCGTCGTTTGCGGTCGCCGAACGCTCAATCTGTTGATTGACCATATTAATTGTTTCAGCCATGTACTTATATAATTATATTTCCATCTTTTGCAGATCACCGTGCCGCGCAGCGCCGCTGCACCTCGCAAGGGCAGCTCCACTGACGGTACGTCCTCCTGGTGGTGCCACATGTTGACGTCGTCGTTGAAAACCACGCGCATGTCAGCCGCGAATGGCGAGCGAAAGCGCACGGGCGCTAGTAGCCTCACGGAGTCACCGCAGCGGAGCGCGTGTCTACGCCCCGGCGGAAGATGCCATGGCCGTTGGTGAGCCGGAGGAAATCATTGAGTACAGGCTTGGACGGACCAAACGACGATCAACAGACGATGTTAACAGCGAATATGATGGAATGCTAGTTTAGGGGAACGTTTCATCCTTTCGATGCTATTTTACGGAACGGCGAACTTTTAATGTTATTTTTCAAAATTGGTCATTTTAGATGCTATAGAACTAATTTTCCAAAAAGAAGAAGAAGAAGGATGCGAGACCTGCGACTGCGAGGGCCAGCCAGCTGCCAGCTCTAGGGACGCTGCTTATAAGGCCGGAAAACCCCGCTTCGCCAGCCCAGCGCCTCAGCCCATTTGATGCGTAAGCTAGCTGCCTCCCGGGCCGCGGCCCAGTTGGCCGAACTGGAAATTCTGAACAAGGCCCACCTGCCCTTCCTCAAAATAGACGTTTGCACAGCGAGCCACATTTGCCGTGCCGGCAAGCAGCGTCGGCGTCGCGCCCGTCGCCCGGCGGCCATACAGCCACTGCCGCGTTGCCGTGGCCCAAAACCCGTCGGCAGGATGGCAAGGTACATCCCTTCTTCTTGATATACATGGAGATGGAGTATCTCTATATCTGGGCCATGGTGGTGGTCATCCAAATCTCCATGGCCAAGCTCTTCAACCTGCTCAATGAGGACAGGCTGCTCCCATGGTTCATGATGCTAAACTGACGATGGGATATTGCTATATGTATGCTTGATGCATTGGATGAACCGGCATGTACATTTAATATGTGTTGTGTCAGGCATTTCTCGCTATACTGCTATGTTGTTTACCTATGGTTTCTTCCTTCAGCTTGTTAACATGGTGACTGCTTCAGATAAGTTGCTATACTGCGATGCAGATTCATGAAGGGAGTTGGGGATATTTAGAGGAGTGTCGATTACTCAGTAGGTATGCCAGTTTATTCCTATGAAATCTAGAACACTACTCGGCAACTGATTTGGTATGGTGTATATGTCTAGTCTTTAATAGCTCAATTAGTCCTTTGATATTTATATGCTTGGCATATATAACCGTCCTCAAGAACATTATCAGTCAGTGAAAAAATTAGCTGGTCGATAAGAACATAATCTTGACCTGGTAGAACAGAATATCTAATTGCCTCTTTGAATAGCTCACGCTTGAGCTCTCATGTTTATTTAGTTTTGGGGGAAATTAGGGTGCACATGGACCACAAGTTAAATCTAAAACAAGTGTGAACATAAAGTTTTTTGAGATTGTCTAAAATTATTTCACACAATTTGGAGCTTTAGATCAAAATTTTGTGTTTCTAGGTAATTATATGAATATAAAGATAACACTATCAAACTTATTCTAAAGAGACTAATATGATGTTATTTTTTACTTGAACAAGTATATACTTGTAGTGCTCAAGTTTTCTCGATGCCGTCATATACTTAATACTTGTAACAAGCTTCATAAGAAAAACAAAAGCATGCGATATACGAATTGACTTTTCCAAATTCATATAAGCCCCTACAATAAAGGGAAAAAATTGGTATACGCCTGTGCATATCTACTAGGAAGAAAAACCTTATAAATATCATGCACATTCTATAAATAAATATTTTGAGAATTACATCTTAAAATCACAAAACTAACAAAATCTATACCTAATAATAAAGAGGCAAAATTTCTACCACCTACAAATTTTCGTCCAGCCTATCCGTGTTCGATCCAGATTTGTTTGCCGCCGGCACGGATCAGCCTGAGATTCGGGCGGTTCCGTGGGTTTAGGGAAGAGGATGAGAAAAAAGAAAAAGAAGATAAGGAAGGGTTTCAGGTGCAAAAATGCAAGAGGGAAAGAAAAAGGTGGAAGGATCTAAATTGAATTCGAGAAACTCGTGGATTCCTACTGTAAAAGTTCAGCCCACGTTGGGCCTCTCTGCTGGGTTGGAATCCGCCTCGTGGGCCTTTTTGCGTTAGCGGACTAGGCCGAGCCGTGGCTTGGCTTCTTTTCTTTTTTTATTTTTTATTTTTTTCTGGTAAAACAATAAACTTGTAGATTATGTGAAAATTATAGAAATAGAAAAATAAAAAAATAGCAAAACAAAATTTTTTGAACTCCTATTGACTAGGTCTACACTAGAATAAAAATATTTCGTGTAGTTATAGATCTATGTTTTCTTTCATAAACTGATAGAAGATGTTTCCATGAAATTTTATGGTAATCTTCTATTGATATGTAGAATCTATAGTAAAAATTTCATGTACAATGGACGCATATTGACTGAGTTAAAGTTAAAAAGAAACAACGATCCAAATGAAATACAACGTAGGAGCACAAAGCACTCGAGGCCACGTCACCACAGGTGATAAGTCTATCTCCCTACAAATAGTGATGCAACCGGGCTTAATACTCCTACAGGCGGCACGCACGATGCCGCATCAGCAACTTACAAAACTTGTGTATCTGCATGGCTCGACCCTACGCTTGGTCCTGCCGCCACGGGGCAGATGCGCCTCATTGCATTGGCATCAGAAATAGGAATTGATAAGAATATCAGGATTCCATGGCTGGAACAATGACGGTGAGGCGACCGCGTGGTGTTCACGGAGTACGATGCCATAGAGCGGCGGTGCAGAGCCAACAAGCTCGGGCAACTAGGGCTCCAATCTCTGCAAGCTAAGTGGTCCTGCTATATGTGAAGCATCCTGTTGGGGGCCAGCACCCACGATGAGGCTCTATCTAGGACACTGCTCGTCAATGGTGGATTGAGTGCGGTGCTGGCGTTCCGACCACGCCGCACCTTGTTCTGCATCACGCATTACGCTGAAAGCAACAATGTAGTGGCGCGGTGGGAGTGCACACTTCAGAGGAAAGACGCCATGCTCTGCATGGACGATCTAGAGGTGATACTAGCGGTGTTTGAGGAGAGGTCGACGAGGTGGAGATGAACCATAACTACCATGGGTGTTCACACACTAAACAAAAATTGATCTTTTGACATAAACAATTATTTCTTTTACACCTAAATCTTTAGTCAAATAAAAATTCCCGTTGCAACGCACGAGCAATTTTGCTAGTGGTAAAAAAAAGTGACTTAGATTTCAGAACAATTGCCTCCCTCATTTGATGGGCTTATATGCCGAAGAGGCATGTCCCCTGTATATGACAGATCAATTTACAACTTAATCTTAGGCAGCAAAGCAAGGCGATAGTACAAAGACGATTGTACGAAAAAAGAATGAACAAACAACAAATTAGTATTACATCATTCGAAGTTGTCTCCCTACAGCTTGATGTTTATTTTCAGCTGTTACCATATAATTTCCTTACAAGCCAAATAGACAACCATTTTTGGTACATTGGCAGAGGTCCATGGCACCCAAAACAATTAAATAGAAATCAAGAGTATATTTGGCCCTTACAACATTGGCATTACCAAATTGTTTCATACAGAGTTTCTTCACAGTAGTGATTTTGGCCGCTACTTGAAACTACTTGTTCAGTTTCATACAATGTTAGCATGCATCAGTAGAAACCAAAAATAATCCATTCAGCTAGTAGGACCTACGTAAAACATCAGTTGTAAACTGTCATAATGATAAAAATGGTTGGAAAAAAAGAAATTTTATACTGTCAAAAATCATACTCCCTCCATACTCAAAATTCAAGTCGTTTTGGATATGATTTAGCATACCAAGGAGTAATTAATTATGGTATACTTTTCCCTGTTTTCCATCATTAAATAGGGTAGCGGATTCCACATATTTAACGATCTTTCATAGCTGGGTTGGCTAGTGCGGTG